GCCCATTCGGCTTCGCCTCATGGGCTATTGACCCGTAGCCCTTGCGGGCTACGGGTCTAATTGTTAAACATTACTTTCTACTTGAACAATGACTATAATTGGTTCTGCTTCAATGTGCGATCCCACTAAAATCTGGGCTTGGAGTTGACTTTTTTTCCTTCTTTGCTGACGGTTCGCAACACGGTTTTCTGAGTTGCTCCTTGCTTTCCTCTTACCAAGTTCTTAATGATTTAAATGTTTGAAAAAGCAACTAAACAATAGGAACTGGAAGGAACTGTATTGAGGAGAAAATAACACCCAGGCACACCTCAAACGTTTTTGTTTGTTTGTTTGTTTGTTTTTAATTTTCAGGATGTGGAAGCTTGTCAGATATCAATCGGTCCTTGGTGGCAAGAGATGCGTCTTATTTCTCACGTCTGTAATCCAGCATGAATTACACAAATTATGGAGGAGTTCACTTGTTTTCTTTTGGTTTCGTTCAAGCAAGGATACGACGTTTCTGAGGGTTTAATACACAATTGCATTTATTTACATTGAAAACATTTCGCTTGTTCTTCAAAGGTTTTGTTGCGGGATCTTACAGAGCTAAGCTTAACTCCGTAATTACGGAAAATAACGGTTGCTGCTACAATTTGTCGTTTCGCGATGATTCAAATTCTCTTCCTCTGGTATCTAAGTCGACCTCAGTCATCCTATAACTTGTTTCGCTAGTTACCTCACTGGGAGCCGAGTGGCATACTTTGTATATCATCATTAGTGAGTATATTAATGATGTCATTTCCCGATTTTTCACGGTTGTTTGTACAAACAGTCAGTTTATCGATATAGGTAAGGTCAAGTCTGCATACAAGCCAAGTGGCCCACCAGGCGGGAACTTATCCCGGTTTCTGTAGCATGAAGCGACTAGGAGTATTTCTACTCCCTCCTGGATGGGATGCTAGTCCATCGCAGGGTTACCCCCAGCATTAANTTCGCCAGTACCCATTTAGACACCTGGGTGGAGAGAGGCACTGTGAGAGTAAAGTGTCTTGCCCAAGAACACAACACAATGTCCCTGGCCACGGCTCGAACCCGGTCCGCTCAATCCGGAGACGAGCGCACTAACCATGAGGCCACCGCGCAGGCGTCCCTCCCTCAACGTTCTTGTTCAGTAAAGGCAAGTCATGGACGATGATCAGGCTTGGTAATGGTTCAGTCACGGACGGAGTGACAGAAGTGTTATTCGTCTCCTTTGCTGTCTACCCGAGGTGAAAATGCCCCAAGACACAACGCCCTTGGCAATCAATTTTACGTGGAATTAGCTTACTTGAATACCTCTTGTCATGCGTTAGGAACTGATCGTTCAGTGAAACAGTTTGTCTCTTTGAGGCGTTTTGACTAAAGAGTATTTTTGAGGCAGCAATCCTTGTTGGGACACTTAACTTATTTCGTAACGCTGCAAGATGAGCTGCCAAGAGGCAATGAAAGTTGAGATACAATATCTCATGAGATTTTTGAAGTCGTTTTGATCATTGTCCATTATTTCTTGTATGCCTGTGGCAACACTTGACCGATAAAAGCCGAGCAAAATCTGCTAAGGGCAAACTCGATCAGCTATAGTGAGGTTCTAATGGCTGACAACCGAGATTCAGCGAACCAATCAGAGGCTAGAATTGCATTCAGTATCAACATTGTCCGAGTTCGAGGATGCGCACACTCATTACTGATGCAAGGACCATTTTTTTTTTTTTAAGTTTAACTAATACTTCGATATTCCGTTAAACTAAACAGGTTGATCTCTTAGTAGAATTTCGCAGAGTTCTCCACATTTAGTAACTTATTACATGAAATTTTCGCGACACGTTTATTTCGAGATTTTGGGGTGCGCATCAGTTTCGCGACACTTAAATTCCGCGATTTTGCGAAAATTTTTGAATCGCGTTAACTTTGCGTTTTTTAGTAATATGCAATTTCTTTCCTTGGCAATGTAACTGACGTTACTTAAACATGTCCTTGATTTTAGGAAACCGACTTTATTTAATGTACAATAACGTCAAAATTAACCAAAGGCAACGACGAGACTAATCTATATGTCAACAGTAACATAATGTGAGTCACTCAACTTTCGCGTCATGCTATGTTCGCGACACTTATTGCTCGCGTTACTTTAATTTCGCGATTTTTTTTAAATCGCGAAATTCGCGAAATCAATTACAATGGGTCGCGAAAATCTCATGTAGTATTAACCCTTTGACGCCCAAGTAGCCATATACCGCCACTTAATGGTCGTGCTCTTTGTACCACTTGTGACGTCATCAATTTAAATATCACCTGATATTATTGATAAACAGATGGTAGTACTAGGCTAGGCCTTTCCACACAATGGTCAGGTTTAGATATCGACCACATTCCGATGTCGCAAATCGAAAAACAACGTTATCAGTTTTGGTGCAAAAACGGTGGTAAAATGGTCCACTACGCCTATCATTGATCAAGGTCCATTTCTAGGCTTCGCCCGTAATTAACATCCAACTTTTCACGGCAGCAAGGAAGAACATACAATGCAAAAGGTAGCCAGTGTAAAAGGGCCGAGAAAAACAGAGAGGAGAGGAGGAACGAACAAAATTGAGGACGGTTAACGGCAAAAAAAAAAAAAGTCCAAATTTTGGCTTATGCGCATGCCCGGAATTGAAATTTTGCTCAATTGTGTACCTAATCCTCGAAAAATCTCTCCTTTTAGTTAAAAAAAAAAAGCTTTCTTAGCAAGACTTAGGCTAATTTAGCGTCACGGCAGCTAAAAATCCTGACTAAAACGGTTAAAAACGGTATTTTTTGGCGAAGGTTTGGTATTCAAAGGGTTAAGGTACTCAAGTTTTGCACATAGCGGACATTTTTTAGCCTGCGAACGCAGACGTATTTCCGGCTGTCGCTTGCCTCCGCCGAAAATAACGTCTGCGAACCTGAGCCAGGAAACGATTTCTATGACGTAATGACTTTTGTTTCTCCTTGGCCAATCAGATTCCACGATAGAATGAGACTCGAGTGCTCCTCGCAGCGAATACCTCGCGCGGTAGTTCTGGGGCTACTTGAGCTAAACTGTGATTGGCTTAAAATTCCTACGTCACAGAAATCGTTTCATGGCTAGGGTTCGCAGACGTTATTTTCGGCGGCGACAAGCGACAGCCGGAAATACGTCTGCTGCGTTCACAGGCTAGACCTCTTTCGGCTTGAGCGCCAAAGGAAGACTCGAGCCCGCGGTCAAACAATCGCTGGTTGGCGTCGCGCATGCTTCGTAGCAGTTGAAACCCTGATCACAACAAACATGGACGCTGTAAGCAATGTGACAACAGAGCAAACAGCATTAACAGGAGAGAAACAAGACGATTCAGACGACGAGGATAAAAATAACGTCGATTTAGGAGTTGCTGGCTTGCCTCGCATTAACTTTTCCGGTTCTAAAAACGAATTTGAGACGATAAATTTGGATGGAGATGGTGATGATGAGGAGGAAGAAGATCCTTCGGATCGTGATCTCTCGGACGACAAACGGAAGAAAAAGTACAGAAAAAAGAAAAAGAAGAACCAACCTTTAGAGGATTTATCAGACAGTAGTTCAGACGACGAAAGAACGAGCAGTAGAAAGAGAAAAGAGACTGAAACTGATCCGGTAAATACGTTACATTTATGCAGTACTAAAGAGCCCTTCAATTAATTGCTATTAATCCCCAATAACTTTCATTATAATGTTTAATAGATGTACACGTTTGCTAGCTTAAAACCATTACCTGAAGAATTTTGGTCATCAATTCTCCTCGTTTTTAGTTTGATAATAATTTTTAGTGTACAAGCTAGTGAAAGATTGGAATATTGATAGACAATGCAAGCCAATATAAGCTCGTTAATATTATGCCTATAAGGGTATTTTTTGCCATTTTCCAGAGTTGCATCTGTAAAATATCACCGACTGCACGTTAAATGGGTAAATATTTTGCAAAACCCTCTAATGTATTGGCTTTACCTCTAAGTGAGTGCATACATGTACATATTTACTTCTAGTTGTTTCATATGCAAATGTAGCTTGAGCCACTTTTCTTAACGGTACACTTGATACATGTGAATATTATTCTGATCAATATGCCCTTGCCAAATTCTGTCACATGACTCTTTTTAGTCATAAAAACAGTCAGTGCCACGAAAAAACTGTCCTAGTGTTAATTTGAAACTGTGGCTTGATCAGTGGACCCAGTGTTTACCTAATTGGCAGCATCTAATTGTGAACACCACAGAAAAATGGTGTTTAACTTAACTTATAACTTTTTCTCATGAACTACTTTAGATACGGTATTTTAGACTTATTTCCTCATAAAAATCTTACTTTGCTTCCCTTCACTTTCCATGTTTGACCATACTGAACATTTAATTTCTTGGGGGTAATGGACCAGAATTAATGGTTTCCATAATCAATAATGTTTTACCGAATAGCTAAAATTGAATTGGCATCATGCCCAACCCCCAGCCTGGAGGACCAGGGTTTTCCGTCTGGGTGACCTTCCCTGAGCCACTGTATTCTGTTATTTATAAAGGTGCTGGATACCTGTGCTATGCCATTGTCACTCAGTCAAGGGTTTCATTTAGGGCGGGGCACCGGGTAAATTGACTGGCTGTGAGAACAATTTTGCCTGCCTGGTTTGACCATCTAGGAGAGAGGTTTTCTCATAACGAAGTTAACTTCAAATAGTTTTGCCCACTTATGAAAACCAATTGCTCTCTTGTTGACAACATTAATGAAATCCCTGCTCAGCTACAGTAGAACTGCATTAGCAGGGTTTTGAGGAAGATATTCAACAGGTAATTTGGTGGCACAGCCTGTTTAAGGATGTTTGCGCTAATTGTTTCTGTGCATCCTTACTGCGCATGAAATTCACATGCCACGTCATGCATGGAGCGCGTGCACTGTAAGTAGTAAAGTGAACAATAGAAGGACAAATGGCCACTGCTACAACTTTAAGTGGACTTAACGATCTTGGACGTTCAGTGACCCCTGTTTTTCTTTTGATGGGCCATTTTCTCTACCGATTTTCTATGTTTTGCGAAAAAATGAAGAAAATCTATTGAGTAGAAGTTTGAAATTTTTGCAAAACTCACCATCGAATTATGTTCGTACGAGGTCTTCATTTAGTTGTGCGTCAGTTTCAAATGCTTCTTGGAGGGTTAAGGTTTGTGAAAACGATGGCAATATTTGGAATTATTAATGCCACAGATTCACTTATACAAAATATTATTAGGATGTTTTGCCTCTGTCGACTTATCTTTGATATTTTAACCTAAAAACCCTGAAGACCATGCAGAATTATGCGCACCAATTTATCAAAATCAGACTAGTTTTCCACGCGCTTTATCTCTGAAACGAAGTCGGTGACCCCCAATTTTTATTTCATTTCTGAAACAAGTATATCATTATCTGTCCGCAGTAGAAGGTTAAAAAAAAAAKCTATCGAGTAGAAAATTTTCATGCGAACGTCCTTAATGACACAGTGGACAATTCCCAGCTTCCACAAAGTACACTTGGTGGCCTCAGTACACTCCACCAAGACCCATTAATTATCACCCTTCAACTCCACAAAACCCCACTTTTGAACAATATTACATTCTCAACATTTGGCCTGATTCATTTTTCTCTTTTCACCAATTTCATTTTTGACAAGGTCATGCAGTAGGGTTCTGTAAAGGGCCATAATTAACCATACAGTATTATTGTATGTTTTCTGGATACATAAATTTTTATCTACGGGCCAAGACAAGGTAAGCACGAGGCAATTGGGTGAAAAATTAAAAGGACAACTACATGTACATGTGCATAATGTACAACAACCTGAACATCTGATCACATTTGCATATGAGGTTTCCATGTTTTACAGTGTATAAGCTAGAGTTAATATGGTGTCTCCAAGACTAAATGAACAGTCAGTTATTACAGTTTGGCGAATTCTGGTCTGGTTTGGAAAATAATGTCTGTTCATATTATCAACATTTGAGTTCACATGCTATTTTTGAGGTTTAATCCCTGGCTGGGGTCACTGTGTTCATTGTGCTCTTGCATAGAACAGTAGCAATCTACTCTCACATTGGCTTTTTCTCCACTCAGGATTAAGGGGTACCTGTAAGTTGTTAGGGCAACTTACATGTACATTGTGACAAAAAGTTGGGGAGAGAGAGAGCAATATTTCTAGCTGTGTCATGCTACAGAAATCAGAAATAAGTGCTGAGAGCAGTGAACTAGTTAGGCTGAAGTGTTAATCCACACTTGAGTTTGACTGAGACCAAATTAGCAGTTATCTATAGTCTGAGTGGCTGCAGTGCTAGCTGTGATATAGAGAAAATGTGAACTTATACATAGCTTACTTGGGGTCAAGTGAACTCTCAGTGTGTTAAAGACAACTTGTATGTTAGAGATTAAATTAAGCATCCTGTTGTTTTTCAGTCTGACCTAACATGGCCTCTTTGGGTGTGGTACTACATAGTAGCAGTATCAAGTGGAGCTTTGAAAGGTACCCATTTATTTTCTCAATTTACAGATTGAAATACAAGTAGAGAGTTCAGTTTCCATGTTTCTGTTCAGTTATTGAAATAATTCAGATGAAACACAAGTAGAAGTTTTTTGAGAACAAGAAATGTTGTGAAATAAACCAGTTTTATTTAATAAGAGTGTGGTTTCCACCCAATTTTGGACTACATGTAAGTTCACCCAGACTTCTCGAGGGTGTGAAACTGGGCTAAAAAAAAAAACAAAACAAAACAACAATAACAACAACAACAAAAACACAGCATCAAAAGCACGTTTTTTTCCCTGTAGTGTTTATAGAAGGTAATGAGTTACACTTAAAGTATAAACCAAGGCTGGGTATTGGTAAACTCCCACTTTGAATGGCTGTGAAGCTGCTAGAGCCGTATGTCTCAATCAACAGAAGGCCTTCTAAGTTCTTACTTGTAATCACTGAGGTCATGTCCCCTATTTGATCATAACTGTTCAGTTAACATTCGTTAATAAACTGCCTGACAACTGACTTAATCACACATGAAAATCTCTCTCTAGTTGCTGAATACCTGGGAGAAAAGTTGGCGGCTTTCTTTGGGATTACTACTCCAAGATATCAGTATGTAATCGATGAGTTTTACAGACTAAAAGAACAGGTCAGTGTTAAATGTACTTAAGAAGCAAAAAATTTATAAACAAAGTTTGGAACATGGTTGAACAAGATACAGATTCATTGTGAAATTCACTGTCTGTGTACAGTCTGGTGTCCGCTTAATAGAGGTTTTTAACAATAGAAATTAGCCAAATACGATTTATTTTAGTGTCCGCGTCCACTTAATAGAGGTGTCCGCTGAATAGGGGATTGCTATGAAGGGAAATATAAGACGTTTATTTCAGGACCTGGCCTGCTTAGTGTCCGCTTAATAGAGGGTGTGTGCTTAATTGGGGGACCGCTTAGTAGAGGTTTCATTGTATTTCATGTATGATGCAATCAGCGATTGTAGACTTTTCAGGTAGTGTCAAAGACATTAAAAGCTGCAAATTGATGCAAAAACTTTAGTAAAGACCAGTCTTCCATATTGAGACAGACTTGATTTTGATTTTCCAGGAAAAAGAAGAGGAAGAACAAGAGAGAAGGGAAAGAGAATATGTTGAAAGAATGGCAGCGGAGAGGTTAGCTTCATTAGAAGGTGGCAGCAGCTTAGACCTTCAACAGACTGAGGAGTTATTGAATGGGAATGTTGTTGAACAAAATCCACAAGATATGTCAAACAAGCCTTGAAGTTTTTATTGATTAATAATCATCCTTCGCTATATGCAGTACATGTAGTCCCTTGTAAAGAATAAGTTATGGGGAAAATTGTGGCATTTGTGCCTACTTTGTAGAATAGTGTCTAAGTCCAGTGTCATTTTATTTTACCTGATCTGCATAGATTGCTCCTAACAGCAGTTACATGACCATATAAAATTTGTTTAATATGGTTCTCATTCATATAGTACATGTAAGGATCATTATTTTGTTGTCATACAGTTAATTTGACTTTATGTAAAAGATGACATCTTGAATCTAGTGCTGGAAATAATAGTTGATCATCAGGCATTGTCTGATCACATTCTGAAATTGTCTGACTAATTTTTACAGTCTGGTCAGGCATGATTCATGTCCAAGCACCAAAATGGCTCAGCTTTTAGCAGGAAGATCTTGGTTACAGACCATGTTTTCTTTGAGACGTGTCAGAAAATCATAAATCATCGGAATCCAGGTTTTGTTTTGCTTGAATAGTCTCTCCAGACTTGCATGAAATTTATGTAATTTACATGCATGTCATGTTTTGAAAATCATCCTATATTAAGTATTCCTATTACTTCATGTGCATGGCTACAGTTTAATGGTCAGTGTATTACGTACATGTAAATTTCATGTTAAAATAATAGTCACTAAATTCTTAAATACATGTATTCAGCCACATTTTGTAATACATGTACATGTACGTCCACCCAAAATCGAAATTTGAAAGGAAACATGTCCTGCTAAATAAGAAAAATTATTTCCAGCACTATGAATTAAGATGTACTGGTAGTTCAACAAAGCCACAGGGAGTTAATCAGTTCAGGATTGTACATACATGTAATACTATGTAATGTAGGTGCATGTATGTTCCAAATGTACACATACATGTATTATTGCAACATGAATCCATAGAATGATGATTGTATTCATTTGATAAAGTATTTTTTTACTCATTGAAGGCTTTTAAGGGTTGAGTTTGGTTACATTTCTGTAACTTTGCAAAAAGTTGATTACACATCACAGTGTATTAGCCTGTGCTATGGTCACCTTCCCCGAAAGAAATAAGCGGAGAGGATATATGTGTTGGCAGTGCTGTTGAGAATGATAAATCAGTGTTCGTTGTATAAATTATCCTTGCATTAAAACCTTTCCAGTGTCACCACACATTGGGAGCGAACTCCCAATGTGTGGCTTCATTATCATAGCTCAGTTGGTAGAGCATTGCACCAGTATCGCGGAGGTCACGGGTTCAAATCCCGTTGAAGCCCTGATTTTTTCAGGCTTCTTCTTTCCAATTGCTTAAATTGGAAAATTTACTGCGATGATCACTCTTCACTTTAATCTATAACCGCAGTTCAAATATGAATTATTTCATATTATACTTCACATGAAATGTAACAAGTTTGTAAAATTTTTGTGGTTTCTACATGGCCAACTCTAAAGATATTTTTCAGTGTGACCAATAAAATGCAAAGTGCTGAATTCAACAATTTAAAAACATTACACTTCTTAAACTACCAAAGGATTGATCAACCAATCAGGTCATTTTCCACACATTCCTGGAAAAGTCATGTGGCTTTGAACATGGTTATTAATGGTAACACCACACAGACACAGTATGTATGCTGTGGTTTAAATTTTCCAAACTGGTATGTTAAATATTGAATTTTGCATAACAAAATGTTAGTGTGGGATCTATAGATGTTAATTAATGGTTTAATATTGGATGTGCCAAATTCTTTTAGAGGTTTTTGTGGGTAAATGTCACACTAAAAATATTTAAAATGTTTTTTCCAACCATTGAACTAGTCATGTGTTTGTGTAACAGTTAAGGGTATTTAATGGACATATCATTAATTCTTCTTTTGTTGGTTGGCAAGTTTTGCTGTGAAAGCTCTTTTAAGCCCTGTCATTAATTAAACTTTACAGTAAGCTATAGAACCCAGTTTTTGTTCCTTAATACACCCCTCCCAAGCTAAGATGATAACTTGAGACGAGTCAAATTGTTCTAGGTGCAGTTTGCCTTTTAGATATGTGGTTTTCTTTCTTATTATCTAAAAGAGGGGACTTATTGTATTGCATCGAATGGAAATTGGGGTTGATTTATTTATAGGTTGTGTTTGCTTCCGTATTATTTGTTCTATTTACAATAGCTGAATTGTACTTCCTACATTTATTTTTAGTTCTGCTATCTGATTTATGATTCAACATCCCCCTCCCTCCATCCATCAGTCCTCTGCTCTGTCCTCTGCCCTGGCCTCAAAGGCTTTGACAGAGGTTCCAAAATAATATTTAAATTCAGTCCTCTGGGGAGACTTAAAAGAGCTTTTACTTCAATAACATTAAACACGTGTACAGTATAGAGCAGTTTTCAATTGAGTGTAGTAAAACCAAAACCAAAGTAATCGCTCTAACCTGTCAAAGGATGCAGACAATCCAGTGAACCAATCAAAACTCAATGTCATTACATGTAGCTGACACAAGGCGTGGGAAATCGTGCCCAAGCGAGCCATGATTGGTTTGTCTTTTCTGATTGGACGAAAAAGTATATAAGGCAATTGTGTAGCGTAGTTGACACAAAACCAGTTACTTTCTACACTCAAATGAAAATCGCTCTATGCAGAATTAAGCCATTAAAATGTAAATATTTTTTCCAACGTCATATACTATTTTATCATTTTTACGAAAGCTCATATCTTCAGGCATGTAAATATGCACGAATGAAATTTGCTTTTAACAATTGAATTAGTTACTAACAGCATGTGCAATACATAAAGCGTGATTGACACTGATCATCTGGGTAAGGGTAGTTCTGAAAAGAACTGTCATTGGAGACCCAAAGTAGCACAACTCTAAAGATGACATCTGCTCAGAGCAACAGTTTTTTTTAGAATAACCCTCGTTCAGATTAATGTGCCAGGCGAAGTAGTGGAAATAATGTAACACAAAGTTGCTATTTTGGTAGCTTCTTCTATGGTTTCCACTTTTAATTAATAGTGTAGAAATCGTAAAGGAAACATGCAAGTAAGAAAGGGAATGAGTGAGGAATAGAGAAGTGGTATTTTTTTGGCTATTTTCTTGCTCATTATGTTTATTTTTCTTGTCCCATGCCGTTGCAGTCTGCCCTAATCTGAAATTCTTTGACAGCTTTCTTGTCAATAAATCTTTATTAATTGCTTTGTATACAGCCAGCAAAAATGGTTTATGGTGTTAATCAGACGTACAAAGTCAACTAGTCAAAATGTAAAGGAAATAAGGGAATTAAGGTTAAAATTTGTAAAGAATTTTTCAGGCTTGGTCCAGTAAAGAATTCGGAATTAATTCATTATGACTTTCAAAAATAACAAAAATATAAAACAAATTAAAAAGAAAACCGAAAGAAAAACATGATCGTTCTCCTTGATTTCATCTTCAAACAGTGTCTTAATTAATGCTTCATGAGCAATTTTTTTCTCAATAAAAGAAAATTTTCCTTAATTCACTCTCCAAGTCTATTGCTTTTGGGTATTTTTGACCTCTTTTATGCACAAAACTTGGGTCCAAACGCGCCAGAATTTCTTGACGTTAGGTCGAAGGATCCTCGGCAGGCAGCTGTTATTTGAAGTAGCAGACGTCTGCACGCAGGATAGGAAGTGTTCCACAGCTCACAAGCTTCGGAAATCTTCCATAAATTCGGAAATGTTCGGAAACGTTCATATAACTTCGGGAACATTCGGAGAATCTTCGGAAATGCTTAGAACTTGATCAGTTGCTCAGATCCAAAAAAGTTGCCCAGACGAAAGTCGCAGGAAGCAGTAAAAGTTGCAAAAATACTGCAGAGGAACTTTGGCAGAGCCTTAAAATTTGGAATGGATCATAAATGTTTTTTCGGGGGGAGTTCGGGTTGAACACAATTTCGATTTTCTCACGTGCAGGTACTTTTATCCTGGTATTTTCCTAAACCAAGGCCCATCAAAAATGTTATGGTTAAGTCCTTAACTTACACAAGTAACTTTTTATCTCTTAGATTGCGTGACTAGCCAAATACCTTTCGTCATGCAACGCGTTCTGTGATCGTGTACGTGACACTTACCCCACCCTAGTCAGGTCAATACTTCTTTAGTCATCAACCAATCAGGTGTCCACGGTTGCCTTGACGTCAACATCAACTTACTTTTGTAAAGAGAATAATGCAGAAATGTCCCTTTTGTGAAACGATTTAGCCGAAATACCGAATAGTTTTGACGACGTTGTGGGTATGATGTGATTTCCTGCACGAAAATCCTACAGATCGTGTTTTCCTTTACGGAATCAAATCGGATGGAAGTCAACGAAACCGCCATTCAAAATGGACGACTTGACATTTCTTGCCTCATTTCCTCTTAGCGGATGGAAGACTTGATAGCACCTGGAGCACCATGAAAGCTCTTGAATACTCCGTGGAATCGGCTGAAGCTTAATTTTGCAATCCGAAAGAACAAGTTTGGAATGCGGAATGAACTAACTAATTAACCGCAACAAAACACCAGTAATTTTCGGCTCGCGGACGTCTACGTTTTATATGAAAACATTCGATAGCAATTTCGTCGAGTGTTTGTGTGATGGGCTCTATGGAAGGCGGTGGAGCGCCTTTACTCAACGATTACAAACTTGAATTCTTCAGGAAACGTTTTCCTCAGACCTTGCTCGGTGGATTGAAGCTAAAACTGGGATATAATGCGCCATTCTATGTTTACCTGAACCAAGTCCTGGTGTTTTTGGTTCCTTTCGTTCTTGGAGGTTTGCTCACCATTTGCGCGGAGTTCGAAGTTATAAATGATGTTTACATTAACAGCTGTATTTATGGAGGCCTTATGATCATATTCGTTTTAAGCACGCAGACTTTGAGCTGGTTTATGCGTCGAAGTTCGACAAGTCTTGCCAAATTTCAAAAGAACCTCTTGGCACAAGATGACGAGGTCGACTTCGTTTCATGTTGTGGTCTGGAAACCATTGACTTTATTTTTCCCGCGAAGAAATTTGTGGCCAATATGGTCATCCATGGAGTGATTTCTGGGGTTGTGTGTGGGTTGATGTTTTTATATCTTCTGCCATCTTATTTGAATGGACTGTATTCAGAGACGGGTGCCACAGTGGTTCTGTATATTTTGGGATGGTGGACGGTTTGCATTGCTCAGTACTCTTTAACTTCGACATCTCCACCAGAGCTGGCCATATTCAGGGCCCTTGATACATTAGAGATCACTCCACTTATGAGGCCATTTTATGTGCTTATATTTGGAATCATTGGAGTCTTGGCAAGGTAATTCACTTGCTGCATGTTTTTAATTTGCCCGCCCCACCCCCCCTCCCCCCCTTACCCATTCCGTTTTGGGTAAAGCCTGGTTCTCATATCCCATTGACCTACATCTACATGCGACATTGTCGCCGGTTGCATTTGACAAGGTTCAGCAACCTGGTCCAATGGGTCCCTGGTGCATCTGCCATGGATCGCGAGGGGGGTGAATGGGTTTTCAAATCGATGGATTTGGCCTTAAAAAGCCTACGGATTGCGGATTTTTGTGGTAAATCGAGTGAATTCACAGATTTTGAAAACACAGTGGATTGTAGGTTAGCTGTAAATTATGGCATGGATTCTGGATTGTGCCTATCTTGATGTTCAGATCTGGGGTCCTAAACAAAATTTGGATCATTGATCTTTCTTCAACCTCAGTCGGTATGTTAATGAGTTCATCCAAATTACTATTTTTTTTCTTTTGAATGAAGCCTATTTAAACTCAGGTGTGAGACTGTTATTGGAATTGTACTATGTTATAGCCATCGAGTATGCTGCTTTCTTTACTATTTGTACGAAATTAACAATGGCATTCACATTTACCAGTTTACTTTTGAACTTTTATACTTCTGTTTCCGGATGTGA